CTCCGTACTCCGGACACATGTTTGCGATGGTGGCTCTGTCTGCGATGGACAGCTGAGCCACTCCAGGACCGAAGAACTCCACAAACTTCCCCACGACCCCCTCCTGACGCAGATGCTGGAAAAACACACACACACACACACATGTTCATGAATCACTACAATCCAATTCCATTCAATGCATTTGTGTATAGTCCTGAATCAGTTGTCTCAAGAGGACTTTTTACCTCATCATGCTAAGGCTAGAGATGTTATACTGCTTCATGTTTATACTAAAGATAGAGATGTTATTTTACTTTAGCATAGAGTTATTGTTCATTTATCTTGTGCTGTGTGCTCCTCATCCCGACTTTAAAGGATATCATAATCTTAATCAAAGATGTCGATTTACCAATAACAGATGAGAGAACAGTTCGAAAACAGGAAATGCAATAATAACAAACTCAGAGGAGACATTGGTTCATAGGGAACAGAGACCACTGTCCATAAATGTTATCAAATGTCCCGGATCATCTGTCCTTAGACTTTCCTGTATCGGCAAAGAAGGATTTTTTTTTTTTTTTACTCAGAAAAGTGAGAAAACTCAGGAAGGCCAAAAATGAGTAGATCCAGGACTCAGGCTGTAGAACGAGGAGGCTACCAGGCAGGGAGGGGGAAGCTACCTACGAGTCACAGGTGCAGATGAAAAAGACCGGATTCAACTACAACACGTTTTTTTAATCATAGCCCAGAGTTACTGAGAGGAAGGAAGGGACCCGGGGGAGAAAGAGCCCAGTACAGCAGGCCTGGAGATCTTAATAACTGGCCCCACCTACTACACCTACTACTGCTACTACTACTACTACTACTACTACTACTACGTCGTACCTTTGTAACAGTGAGGACGATGTCAGTGGAGGTGATGAGTTTGTCGGGGGTCCCAGACAGCTTGTAGCCCACCACCTGAGGCAGGACCATGCTGATAGGCTGCCCCAGCATCACAGCCTCTGCTTCTATACCGCCAACACCTGTGCACCGTTCAACAAGTCAAGAATCATTTACAACATTTTTCATAGTCATTTTTTTTTGTCACTTTTTAGTAAGAGGACCAGTTTTGTTTAAGCAGACAGCACAGAGAGTAAAGATTTTTGTTCAACTGGATTTGGACTGGGTTTTGGACTTGGATTTAGAGTTTAATGTTTACTTTATCTGAATTTTGTGCAAGAATAAAAAACACATATCTGTTATCCAAACACAGCTGGATTCAAGAGGTACAGATCTTACTTCGGGTTAGCAAGGCAGAGGCCCACGATTGGACAAAGACACCGAGCAAATTGAGAGTGGATATATTTTGGAGTTTAGACAAGAGGAGAAAACTACGCACAGTAACGGAACTTGCGATATCCCAAAAAGTGCTTTCAACAATTGACTATATTCTGACATTGCTCCTTTACCTCCAAGAACACTGACATTTTGGATTAGTCAAATGGGCGTTTCTACTTGTGTGTTATCATAGCAAGCTGTATAATTTGCAAAAAACAGTCTATGGGTTTGAGCAGAGATGATTTGAGAAGCGAGAGTGACAGGTTGTGATTGGCTAATGAGTACAGAGAGAGTAAGTTACCCCAGCCCAGGACCCCCAGGCCGTCGATCATGGTGGTGTGAGAGTCCGTGCCCACCAAACTGTCCGGGTACAGGAAGCCCTCGTAGTTGAACACGACTCGAGCCAAGTACTCGAGGTTGACCTGGTGGACGATGCCGGAGCCCGGAGGAATGATGCGCATGTTTCTGAAAGCTTTCGAGCCCCACTGAGAGGAACAAGCACATGTGACTGCATTAGAATGAGGTTTTTATATATATACAGTCACTAATATAAAGCTGTAATAAGGGGATTATAACCTTTAAAAACTGGAAGCGTTCTTTGTTGCGCTCAAACTCCAAGTCTTGATTTTTCTGAAGGCTGTCGGACCTATGGAAACAACTCAAGTTTAGGATTTTAAACTACCTACTTACCTAACTACTTAAAAAACTAACTCTAGCATCTAAGCTCTAACATCAATAGTTTTGTATTTTATAGTAATGCATCTTTTGCGCTTCTGTCACATCTCAGGGTGACTAACTTTCTTTTCTTAGACACCTAGCTTTAAAGGTACACTGTGTAGTTTTTACTTCCATCTAGCAGTGAGATCATATTTTGTAATTTACGGTTCTACGGTAGCTTCGCAGGACAATATGTGGTCTTTGACAGCTCTTGACAAATCTTGTTGTTGTTTTGTCCCTCATCAACCACTGTATTTCAAGATGGTGCATTGACACAGAGAGCCCTCCAGCCTCATGGACATTTATAATCAATTTCTAAACATATGACAACAATTCAAAAACATGGTGGGGGTGAACATTCTTAAAGAGGTCACGTTTGTTATTGGTTAACATGTTTTTTTCATGTACCTTTAAGACATTCAGCAAGTATCAGCTAGAATTTCCTCTAATTAATTCCAACATTTAACAATAATATATAAAAAAAGACAGAACTCCGGAGTTGTTTTAAATTGTTTGAATAGAAGGAGATAAAATGCATGTCAATGTTTATTGTTGTCGGCTGTGTTTCCAAGCCAACAACAGTAAACATTTGAATATATTGTTAATAATAACAGCTCAGACGTACTTCCTGTTGAAATCCACCTGGATGGAATGATCGATGACCAGGTCGGCGGGACACACAGGGTTGATCTTCTCTGGATCTCCCCCCAGTTTGGTGACCGCGTCGCGCATGGCGGCAAAGTCCACCACCGCAGGGACGCCTCTGTGACACAAACACACAGCGCTACGGTCAAGGACGGGGCCAGAGAGCAACAACACACTGAACACTGCATACAGATGGACAATGCTAACCCGCTAGCTCTATGTAGCACAATATGAATGCAGGACAAAAATGTTGGGAACTGCATTTATCCCACATATAGCACTTAGCATGTAGCATATTTGCACTGAAACATAGCTTTGTGATGTCCTCTCTTGTTCTTGTAATCTTCAATGTCGTGATTTGACTGTCTGCAAAACCAATTTCCCCTAGTGGGACAGTAAAGCCAAGACTTTGATAGAGAAGTGCTCATGGACAATGTTTTGCAGCTAATTACTCCGGCATCCTATTAACTTACATGTAAAAGTAAATTCCTCTAGCTCAGTCACCGTTTATGTCATACCCACAATTTTGGGGTTAAAAAATCGGATTTAGTGCCAAGATTATTGTCACTATTATTATTATTATTGAAATATTATTACTAGATCTTTCAGCATTGATGGTAAGGTTAACATGGGCTACAGTGGCATGTTATACCTCATTAAAAAGCCCTCAACAAAACAACCATAATTGATTTTATGCTATAATTTGAACGCAACACATCATTATAAATTGTTAAATGAAAAATATAAATAGTTTGCCAATCCTTCCTTTAATCCTTTATCTTTGACCCAGTTTTGGTTCAGTGCAAATATACAGTAACTGAACGAGTTTTGTTTCGAAAAATCATCCAATAAACAATTTCCAAACTCAGCTTCAATGAAAGTAGTCCTTTAGTCAAAATACTGTTAAAAAAAATGCAAGTATCCACAAATGCAAAGATGAATTTCAAACACTTTTATACTTTTTGGAGTAACTAAGTACAGTAATCTTTATTAATGATGATTATTATTTGCTACATACGTATGCCCCAGAGCAGATTCTGTCTTACGTGAAGTCCTGCAGAATGACTCGTGCCGGTCTGAAGGGCACCTCCACGATCTGTGTCTGTGTGTTCTTCCAGTCCAGGATGCTCTCCACGTCTGAGCGCTTCACTAGGAACTCGTCACAGTTCCTCACCGCAGACTCCAGCAGGACGCGGATGGAGAAGGGCAGGCGCTCTGCACACAAGGCAATCATGAAGAGGTTTCAAACAACGCTAGGGCTGCACCGAACTGGAAACAGTGATAATAACCCTGTAAATTGCAATATTTCCCTTTGCCAAGAAAAATACAATTCATTTATGTACATCGTCACAAATAAACATTTAAAAAGAAAAGACATATTTAAACGAATGAAGACTTTGAATGGTACTTCTGTAACACTTTTTCTCCTGAAGAAAAAGTCCCTACAGTGTTGTATTTATGTAGTGTGTGGTTTCTCACTTTAAGCTAATGACAAAGCTGCTCCTTAAGGAATGCACGATGTATGGTTGAACTTTATTGGTGAAAATAAAAATAATCAGCGCTGATCTCGGCCATTATTGATATTTATCAGTGGAATCGGACAGTTTGATTGAAAAAAAATCACATCAACTAAAAATTACTCTGCTGCCAGACCATATGTTGTATAAAGTGTGTACAGTAATGTATATGAGGCATTGATTAGTTTGGTTTTGTTTTATTTTGGTACAATTATTTTAAATAACAGAGCACCTCGTTAAAATAATGTTAAAATCACATACATTGCAAGTCATTCAGGCTGAGATATCTACAATTCTTACATCAAACCGAGTCTATACAGAGAGGGCTATAATTTATGTTTCTATTTGACATTTGATTTGTTGAATTAACATAGTCTTCAGACATTCAAACAAAGTTGTGTACCAATATCTTCACTTTTACTCCAAAAGAATACCATCTCTTTATCGGTTATCGACTTAGTATCAGTCCAAAAAGAAAAAAAGATATCATCGACCTCTAAGAGAAGCCCTTGCTAATTTTGCAATGACAATATTTTATTTATACTGTATATAGTTTGGATTTTTTATATTTCCAAGACTCTTTTCCACTCATTTCTTTAGTCTTCATAGAAAGTGTTATGACAAAGTGAATCAATCTCAACCTATCAGTAGGGATTTTGGGATCTTCAACTAAAAAACCTTTATGTGATGACTTGGGGACCGTTTCTTCTTACCATATCTGGGGTCTGTGAGTTTGGTCAGATTGAAAAAGCATTGGTCCGGTTGTGCAGGGTCCAGGGGCTGCACTAAATGTTGGAAAGGATTATTTGCGGTCGCCGTCATCCTCCTCTTGTGTTTGTCTGATTCTGCAGCAAAAACGCACAGCTATGTTATTCATCAACAGTTATTAAACATTGTAAAACATCAGCAGATCATGTGACATCAGTGCAGAACGACCTGGCCAATCAGATCGCTCCTCTTATGTGGGTAACAAATGGATTATCTTTGCTGTGAGGAGTAAGGGTCACACACAAGGCTTGGCTCCTATTTTACAAACAGCTTATGTAACTAATACCTGGAGCAGTATGATGAAACTATACTAAAAAGTTATGTGTCGTAAATCTCCACATGCTGTGATTATGGCTATGGAATAAGCTTGAGCACGTGCACTGTGTAAAATCAATGAGGAAAATGCCAAATATGTGGTAAAGTTCACATTACAAACACTTCCTGGATAGCAACCATGTATAGCAAGTTTAATAGTCAATTATATTTCAAACTAGTAATGCCCTGTACAAATATAAAGCATATACAATGTATGCTAGTATGTATTAGAATTAGCTACGTGGAATTTTAGCTAATAATAAGTATATTGTGCAATACTTTTACTGGGAAATACAAGTGTAGCTTAGCCTAGATAGCACATACATTACTAGTTCTATCTAGTTTACGTAATATCTGGAGTTATTGCTCTTAAATTAGGGCTAATAATCATGTTAGCATTAGCAACATTTAACAAGACTTAGTTTATCTTGTGCTATATTGTTATTACTGGGAAATACAGGATTAGCTTAGCCTAGCCTAGCACAGCATATTCTCACATGTTTTTAGTTTACAATTCAAAAGACAGCACATATTAGTATTTCTATCTAGTTTACGTAATATCTGATATTATGGCTGTCAAATTAGTGATAATTTCTACTCTTAAATGTTAAGTTAGCATTAGCAACTTTCAACAACAAAGTTTATGTCGTGCAATATTTTTATTACTGAGAAATACAGGTTTAGCTTAGCCTAGCACAGCATATTCTCACATGTTTATATTTTGCAAAAGACAGTGCATTTATTATTATTTCTATTCTAGTTGAGGTAATATCTGCGGTCAATGCTGTCTAATCAGGGCTAATTTCTACTCTATGTTAAATGGCATTAGCATATTAACAACAACCTTTACTGAAATCTGAGATTCTGCAAGACTGTACATAGAATTAAGAGTATTAGCATTAAACTGAGCACTGACATATGCGGGATAAAGCAGTATACAAGATAAATGTAAGTAGTGTGTCACAAAATAGGCAGAGAAAACGCAGATTGACAGCTACGTCAGCAGCAGAGACAGCAGCAGAGACATCAGCAGAGGCAGTAGTAGGAGCCTAGTTTATCCATGTTGTGTGTGAGTAAAAATGAGAAATATGTCTAAAAGTGTGTGTCGTGATAAACTTACAGAATGTGCAGAGGAGACACCGCAGATGAGGGTTTGTTTCCTCCCTGTCAGATGTGAGTTTACGACCCCCAAGGAGAGCACTTCCGCCTGTCACCAAAATAAAAGTCGCCGATGATCCTTCAAGTTAAAAGCATTGACTGTAAGTAAAGTGATCTTAAACTACAATCCCGGTTAATAACATTTGTGTTTAACTGTGCGACAACTGAAGAATTGTATCTTGACTGTCTTAAAGTACTGTGATTATTTATGATTTTAACGTTTCTTTTCTTGTTGCCTTGTGTATGAACTGTGCTGTACAAATACACTTCCCTTGCATTTCCCTTGTATACTATTAAGACATGATTAAGAATGTCCACAATTAATTATAAATAATAAACAAAATACATGGCAGCTCATGGCGATGCTCTTGCAGTTTCTTATTCTGTCCACTAGATGTCAGTATTGCAGCGGAGATGAGTATGGATGGTGATGATAGCGACATTAGTCTCCTTTGATGGAACTACTTTACGACAGGTTTACTTTATTTATTATTTTAGACACTTTAGGAAGAACATCAATAAGTTTTTTTGTTGTTGATCGGGACAACACACATTACTGAACAATCATGCAAGATGTATGCAAATTTCAAATGTGCCAGATAGCAAACCATGTATATCCTAATTTTGGGGGGAATTTTAAGGACATTGGTCATTTGTGTTTATTTATTTTCATTATTATTATTATTGGATTTTTTTAATAGCTGTGGAAACTCAAGTAAGCATTACTCTGAAACCAGTGGAGTAGAGCGGTGTAATTTAGTGTCTTATATATAACAATATGACTATCATCCCTATGTCCCAATGCAAATCAAAACATTCCTATCACTGGAAAAAAAAAACAGCTTAAAGAAAACCAAGAAAAAATAGCTACTATTAGTGGAAATGTACTTGTTTTTCAACTTTTTTTCCCCACAAAAATATTAATAAAAAGTAATATTATTTTATGTATCTTCAGCCTGTATAAGTAATAGAATTAATAATAAGTAAAAGAAAACCCAGATGAATACATAAATAAAATGTTGTTGGTAAATTGACAACTTTGTAAAGTCCTCCGAGACTGCTGTTGTGACTCAGGGCTATACACAAATGAATTGAATAGAATTGTTAAGCATCATTTCTTTTCTGTGTCCCTGCAATCATACAACGGTCCAATCAAAGCACATGGAGGTTATAACAGCTGTGTAGAAACTGGACATAAAGCTCTCCATCAACAATGTTATTTTGAAATGATGTAATATTTCAGGATCCAGCGGTGCATACATCGGCGGGTTGTGAGATGTAGGTTACAGAGGCTACAGGTGACGCTGAGTGTTGGCGGTGATGCTGCAGGGAGAGAGCTGTGAAGTCATGCACACACAGATACACAGAGAGTGAGAGAGAGAGAGACACACACACACACACACACACACACACACACACACACACACACGCACACGCAGGCACACAAACAGAGAGAGATACACACACAAAGAGACACACACACACACGCAGAAAGAGAGAGAGAGAGACACACACACACACACACACACAGACACTCACAGACACACACTCACGCCTCTGATTCAAGTCTGCTTTCAACAGTGTCCTACTGAACCACTCCATGTGACTCACATCGCCTCAACAAATGCTTATTTTTGAGTCTGTCTCAGTCCAGTCCAGTCCAGAGCAAGTGCAGAGGCCTATTCTCATGGAAAACACATGTTTAATGCTTTGTAAACTATTGTATACATATATAAAGGGGAGTTGGTGTCGCAGTGGTTCTCAAAGTGGGGTACGCGTACCACTAGGGGTACGAGGGGCTCCCTCTAGTGGTATGCCAAATAATCACTGGTTAAATTTAACCAGGAAAGTACCATTGAGATTAACTCGTTGACGTCATTGACGTCAACATTGTTTTTCAATCTTTTCTTGTCAGTCTGTGTCCCCTGTATCATACAGTCTGGGGTTTGGCTGTAGACAGTATTTTATTAAGCCAGCAGGTGGCAGCAGAGCTCTGTGGGTGTCTTGGTCAAAGATCACTGCCTGAGCACTCTGAGAAGGAGAGACAGAGGTGAAGCAGACATGGAGTCAGGGTCAGGCTACATTTGGAGGCAGTTTGAGCTGTAAATGTGTCTCCAGAGCTGACACAGACCATGTGGAGGGTCCTAGCAACAGACCATGTGAGGTTCAGGGCAGCAGACCATGTGAGGTTCAGGGCAGCAGACCATGTGAGGGTCAGAGCAGCAGACCATGTGAGGTTCAGGACAGCAGACCATGTGAGGTTCAGGGCAGCAGACCATGTGAGGGTCAGAGCAGCAGACCATGTGAGGGTCAGAGCAGCAGACCATGTGGAGGGTCAGAGCAGCAGACCATGTGAGGGTCAGAGCAGCAGACCAGCGGTGCACCCCAAAAAAGCCACAGAAAAGTGGACTATTGCTAAAACTATCACTGAGTCCGCAGTAGGAGCCAGCGGTAAAGTCCAGTTATGGTCACAGCGCTCGCTGGACTAAACAGAGCGACACTCTGTAGATGTAACCACACAAACACACACAAACGTGCGCATAAACACACATACACATGATTCACTCTTATTGACATAAATATAGCACCACCTAATGGATGAATACTGGCCATTCTTTCTGCCATAGTTTGTCATGGGCTCTACTTTCCATATGTACATTTTGACATTTTTTGGATGAGTACATTTTGAAATATTCGAGCAACACTTTGTGGATGTGTGTGTGCCATAAAACATATTATTTTGCATCAAAAACACTTTCTCATAACTTGCTGTTTTCTAACATAAGATCCTGGACATGTTTGAGGAGATGCTAAAGTTAAACTAAATCGTGTTACAGTCACTTTTCTGCAGGTTCGTCTGTTTTCACAAACACCTCATTTTCTCAGCTTTTTGTCTAATGGTGCGTTCGGACCGCAAACGCTGAAACGCTGAAGCCCCAGACGCCCATTCTCTAGTTTTCAGACGCAGAGGACCAGAACGTCCTGACGCGAGCCGGAAGTACCGGAAGTAGCCGGCCGGCTCTGATGCTAACAGGGCTATGCTAGGGGCTCCTTTTGTACAGATCTTCTCCAATATGCAGCTTTGTAGCGTGTCTTTGAACAGAGACATTCCACGGGCTTTATACAACAGTAGTATGTGTTCACGGAGGTGCAGCATACGTTTTTTCATATTATTAAACGGTATTTCCGCATCGGTGACCACACTCGAAGCAGTTGCATAAGGTCACGGGAGCATGACAACGCATATTTTCACACAGAGCAAGCACAGAGTCCCCCATTGTCAACCCTGGTTTGAGTTCTGGTGAAGCCTGGTGTGGGTCCTGTTTTGGCTGTTTACAAGTATGTTCAGTCTGCTCGCTCAGTCCGCTAATGTCCCCGTGACCACTTTGCTGCTTTCTGATTGGTTGTCACACAAACGTCCCAAGGAAAGGATGAGCAGAATCCATCTCCTGTGGGCGTCGACTTTTCGCTCCTGCTCCTCCCCCTTGACTTTCCCGCCAAGTCCGTGCGTGTCTACTGAACAGTCCGTCCGTGCGTTGTGAGGCTGCAACGCACGTCACCATAGACTTTGCATTGAAACC